GAAATGTCGTGGACTGGCAGCGGGAGAGAAGCAGGCGCGCGGATCAGCCTGCCACGCCAGTTGTAACCTCTAATCCAAATGCAGAACATGAGAGTTGTTATCGCCGGCAGGCATCAGGCAGCACGCTGGCAGTTTTTATTGCTTCCAGTTCCTCTTGTGGTCCCTCTTGCCCCCCCTTACTGCTTTAGAAAGTAGAGAGGGCTTTGGGTAGCAAGTGGGGCTCCCCTGAGCAAAATAATAAAGCGATCAAACAGCTATGTGGGTTTTATTAGTTTCCCACTCAGATCTGCAAGCTTAACCCCTTCTGTGGCTGGATCTGACCTTTCGGTGTTTAAGTGATGCAGCAGACACGCTTAACTGTGCATTTCCCTCACTTCTCTAAAGGCACAATTTCCAAGCACACAGCCGCAGGGAAACACAGGAGACTCCTGGTGCACAACAGCTCAATCCTCTGTAGGGTCTTGGGTGCACAGAATCCTACATAAATTGCACTGGAGGTAGCAGGAATGCAGATATATTTACCAGCATTTCAGTAGCATGACTGCGCACCTTCGCTCAAAAAGATGCTAACAAGCTTTATACTGTCTCACACCTGCTGCTCTCCGTTCAAGACTGCAGCGGCTGACGAGACCTGACGGACCAAACGTGGCCAGATCTGTTGTCCAGCACTGTGTTCACTGGCACAGAAGTTTCTATGGTGATGGCTCTGATGAGGACTGGTTGCAATTTACTGGAGTGGTAATATTCTTTTTGTATTTTGTATGTCAGACAGCAATCACAAGCAGAACTGAGAACACCATACTGAAAAACACTTGAGTTACAGCCACACAAGAGCTTGAATAGAAATATACTGAAAACTCAAGCCCATGCGACAACTAAAAGCTTGTAGGAGGCGTTTTTAAACATTGTGTGCCACCATTTGCCATTTTCTCAATCTCTTCAGCTCCCAGTTACTGGTGGGGCTGATGGAAACGTCTGTGATTGATAAACAGCCCCAGCCTTTTGAGCTGCTGGAGCACAAAGGGTTGATGGACAGATGTCAGCCCTTGATTGACATATGGACCTGTCTTAGGAAAATTTTACTAGGGCATTCGTAGGCTTGGAAGGTTTAAGAATCGTTCACAAGCTCTCGCTCTGCGGCCCAGGCTCTGAGATTTCTGAACGGGTTGTGGTAACACAACGATACAACAGTGCCACATGACGCAGCATTTAATCCCCATCAGGTGACGACTGCAACTCGTCTCCTCTGCTGTGCGATTATGCAGCACAAGAGCACAATTTCGCTGAAGCTGGGGGTAAAATAATGAGCTCCGACACCACCCCAGGGACAGACGAGAGCGGAGAGGGATGGAGACGGAGAGAGGGGGGAGGAGAAGGAACAGGGAGAACAGACCCGCTATTTTTCCTGTCCCGGTTGATGAAATCGTTTGAAGCCGGGGATAAAAAAAAAAAACCCATCAAGCTGAAAAACAAGCAGCCGGCGCAGAGGAAAAGAGCACCTCTGTGATTGAAAGAGACACGCGATTAAATGATGGGGAGACGGAGAGCGAGCAGGCGGGGGGGCTGGGGGGGGAGAGGGAGGGATGGAGACAGCACAGGGACAGGGAAGGCCAGGTGGAGGAGCGGGATGAAACAGGGAGAGGAAAGAGGGAACGTGTGTGCCCGCAAGGCCTGTACACTCCCGAGGGCGGAGGAAAAAACGAACGAGAAGCAGAGCAGAATCGACAGAGGCCGGGTGGCTGGAGACCCGGAGGGGAGAGATAGGTGTCGGAGCAAGGGCAGACAAGGGAGGGCGGAACCCGGTGAGAAAGACAATGGGGTCGGATCGCCCTGGGATCAGCACCCCGGGGGGAAACAGCCGGCCAGGCCAGAGACCTAAGAAAACGGGGAGCCTAGCTTGAGGGGGGAACTCTAAGCTCGTAGCTGCACGCCTCTCCCTTTTACAAGAAACATGGCTTTGTCTTCTCACACTGCAGCACAGCACCTAGGTGGAAAGGGCATGCGGAGAGCTCCAGACAGCCCGTTCATCAACGGCAATTCATTAGTAGGAGCACGCTGTGGAGGAGAAAACACGAAGTGCCTGTCTATGCATTTTATTTCTAGAAGCATCTGACACCTCATCTCCGTGGCCACCGGAGTGAGGATTCAGCTAATGAAGTACCTGTCGGGAACTGAAGCTGGTGCGCAGCTGTTTTCTCCCCTCACCGGGTGCTTTATAGAACATGTGATTGCTTAGGAAAGTACTGCGGGCGCTCGGGTCCCCTGTGCTCGGCTCTCAACACTGCCGTCTGGCTGAAACCTAGTGACAGCTCCCGCTGGAAACTCGTGGTCTCCCAGCCTACGACACAGAACACTGAAGCACGCCCGTGCGACATCACTGCCCGTCGCTAGTGCTGCCCTCTCACGATCGAGGACACGTGGTTTCACAATATGGAAGCTCATACACAGGGCCGTCTCGAGGGGGGGGCGGGTTCTTGTGTGTAGTGGGGGTAGCAGGGAGCAGCGTTGAGGTGAGGAAATAGCTCCCTAACTGGCCTGCGCGAACAGACACGCAGAACCGAACACAACTACTAATCGCCGTCGTTGCTAATGCTATCCGTACCTCCAGGTGTCTAGCTAGGTGCTAGCATCCTTGTCTTTGTTGAGATCTCACCACCCGTTTCTTCTTCGCCCCTGGTTTTTATGACGAACCTTTCCGAAGACCCTTTAAGGGCCACATTTACATCCTCCCTCTTCTGCCTCCTGTTTCTGTTCTCGCCCCCGCTGCAGTATTTTCGCAATTTGTCCCCGTCTCTGCTTGGGATCGCCATTTTTTTCCAGGCTAGTCTAGTTCTGCTCGCAACTGGTGGCCTGTGACGTAGTGAGTGTGGTCCAGTTCTGAATAAAGCACCAGCTCTCCCACTGACTTAAGATTTCATCTCGAGTTAAAATAAGAGTTTTGTGTGTCACTTTATTAAAATGTTTAAACGTCTATTTTTATGCAGGTGTGAAGCAGGATTGGGGGGGGGGCTGGTCAGTGCGGGGCCCTGGCCAGCCACCCCCCCTTTGAGACGGCTCATACAGAGATCATACTAACTGGTCAGGTGCCTGCTGGATCAATAGTGTGCACAGGTGGTGTCTTGTGTACAAAATACTACTCCTACAAGTGAATCCACTCCTACAGAGCACACAGTCAGCCCATAATGTGCTGGTTCCAGTCTGAAATGAGTCATTTAGCTACCTGTGACCAGGTCAGAGATTCCCCGAGTGCAGGTGTGCAACAGGACAGGTCAAGCCCATCAGAACTGGGTGGACCAGCGTCAGGAGGGTGCCTTGGTGTCTTGGCTAGTCATGCAAGCTAGAGTTCCAATGGTTAGGACTCCCGGTTTGCATTGGGTTCCACTCCTGGTTATAATAATAATACTTCCTTACTCTTACTGTACATAGCCCTTTTCTGGACACTCCAATCAAAGCACCTTACAGGTAATGGGGATCCCCTCCACCACCACCAGTGTGCAGCCCCACCTGGATGATGCACCAGTACTCTCCCCACACACCAGCTCTCAGTGGGGAGGAGAGCAGAGTGATGAAGCCAGTTCAGAGATGGGGATTATTAGGAGGCCATAACTGGTAAAGGCCAGGGGGATATTCGGGCAGGAAGCTGGGGTAACACCCCTACTGTTTTCGAGGAAACACCCTTTTTAATGGGCGCAGAGAGTCAGGACCTCGGTTTTACATCTCATCCGAAGGACGGCGCCTTTTTACAGTATAGGACACATAGGACATTAGGACCCATACAGACCTCAGGGTGAGCGCCCCCTACTGGCCCCACTAACACCTCTTCCAGCAGCAACCTTAGTTTTTCCCAGGAGGTCTCCCATCCAGGTACTGACCAGGCTCACACCTGCTGAGCTCCAGTGGGCTGCTAGTTGTGAGTTGCAGGGTGTTATGGCTGTTAATGGGAATGCAAATGTCTACCCCAGTGCCTGGTCAGAACTGAGACCTCCAAGGTACACCAGGTTGTTGCTTCAAGTGGATTAAGTGGAGTGATGGATTACAAAGCCCAGACATATACAGTATGTATAAACAAGACCCTTGTCTGCTATAATTACAGAAGAAATAAACAAAATCTCAACAGAAGTTAATTTCCAGCCTCCAACAGTGAAGCATCAAAACTTGCTTTGTTTACCAAGCCAGACTTATTTACTGGTCCTGGGTGAGCGATTGAACAGCAGGGCGCTCTGAATGGGCCTAACAGCCCGAGCTGATCCTCACAGGCCACAGAGCCGATCTCAACGCCGACACGAGAGGTTTCAGGAAAGACAGAGCGTCAGAAAGAACAATTCTACTCCCGTTCTCAGGAACGGAATTGAAAAATGGTTTTAAAGGGATGAATCGTGCCGGGAACACTGAAGGCTTTTAAACAGTGCTTTGGAAAACGAACCGCAGTTTGTTTGGCTTCAGGAAAAATGTCTTTGCACTACAGTACAACCCTGGCTTGGACATTCTCATGTCTCTACACACTTACTGGCTTCCTGCTGAGCTCTCCTCATTTCTAAGCCCCACTGCTGCGCCCCTCCCTCCTCCCATCACCCAGGCCACGGAGTGGAACCCGGCCGGAGCCAGGACGCCTTACCCAGCATCGCGGAGCGGCCGTCGCCCAGCGGGTAGCGCTGGTACCGCGGGACGGCGAACGGCTGCAGCTGGTGGAACTGCGGATACAGCAGGGGCTCGAGCCGCGAGGCCGAGGGGTCGGCGGGGTGAAACAGGTTATAGAGCTGGGAGCAGGCCGGGCGGAGCTGGGTCACTGCGGGGAGACAGCAGACGCATCAGAGGTTATGCACCGGGCAACTAAATGGCAGCTCAAAACTTTGCAATTATGCGACTTAATGGGCATGCTTTCCCACTCTCTCTATCCAATCATGCAAGCCTGCAGTCGTTCCTGACTTCTTACTGGAGAGACTGCACAATCCCCTCTTAGTGCAGCTCTCTGTGATCAATCTCTGTGATCTATTCTTCACGAGAAATGAACATGCTACAGTATATCAGGCTGGCACAGCCAGAGTGGACTGGACACAGCACATGCCTGAGCCCCCTGGAGTTACTGCTGGACCAACACAAACCAGACTGGTGAAGCAGGCAGGACAGGATGCGCAGGGTTAGTGTTAGTGTTCGGGCGGACACGACTGTATCTGTGCGACTGTGGGTGGGTGGGGGGGTGTGTCGGGTTCGCGCATCTGCGTCTGCGGCGCTGGGCGGTCCAGTACCCTGGACAGCGGGCAGCACCGTCCTCCTCATGGCCAGCACCAGCCCCAGGGGGCAGCCCAGCAGGAAACAGTCCGACACGTCAAAGTCGAAACGCCCAGGGCTGAGGACCAGACTGGAGTTGCTGCCGGGCCTCAGCACGCCCTCCTCCTGCAGCAGACTGGGGTTTGGGGGGGGGAGAGAGAGAGAGATACAGCGATCAGCATCCTGCAGCACAGACCGGACTGGGAGAGAACGGAGCTGTGCTGCCACACACATGGGCAGAGAGGGACACTCGCAAAAGGAGACATCAGTGTCCTGCAGCAGGAGAGAAGACAGACAGTCAGTGAGCATGTGTTTTCCCTGCAATGGTCTGGTCCCACCCTTGTCAAACGTACGCAGAACATTGGTGTTTTTTTATTTTGGTTTTATTGCGTTGTTGTGTTGAACTACGCCAAATTTCTCCCAATCTCCTCAGGGGACAATTAAGCTTGGATTGACTTGAACTGGGAACAATGCACAGTTTATGCTATAAGTAAAGCATAGCTCACCCTCAGCAGATTAACGGAATGATTAATCTGCTAGCAAACGACCTTGACTAATGATTGGTACGTTTTGCTAATGTACAACTGAAAAGACGACGCAATTAGGGAGTACAATTTCTAACCGAGGTGTTGGCAACATAACTTCTCCCTCTCCTGCGGTTGTCAGCGGTAACATTCTCGCCGTTTGTGCTGCAGATGCTGTTTATCCGAGGACATCTTCTCCAGCCTCCTCCCCCCTCCCCTTCAGCAAACACACCTGAGCGCACAAACGCGCGCGCGCGCGCACACACACACACAGCGCCGCCATACTGAGGGCCCAGCGTGAGTCCACACTGTCGCAGGCCGGGGCTATTAATAGCAGCGAGCCGGCTTCCCGGTGACGTCACGGCAGTGCAGCACACACGCCGGCGCTCGCACAAAGAGGTCTATTTTAGGAAACCATGGGCAATGGCTTGGCAGGGGGGGGCAGCAAGGAGAGACACTTCCACACGTACCCTGGGCTGCAGCCAGACGACACCTGCATTGCAAGTCGAATCCGGGGAAGATCCAGTAACGCCCAGAGAAGGGGAGACCTCTGCTGGCAAATTAAAATGGTGTCTAAAACACCCGCTAAGAACTGCACCTCTAATTTCAAATTGCCTCTGAACTATAGGCCTTCTGGTATGTTAGGGAGGATTTGATAAATGGCTCAGGAGATGCCTAAAGGACTGAGAAACCCCTCTCCGTGATGAACAATGAACAGGGCTCACAGCACGGCTGTCTGGTTTATCAATGAACCGGCCCGGCTCTAATCCGTGTGCACTGATTCGCAGTAGACCCAAGCAATTACAACATTCATTTTCCGCACTTCTGGGGGAAAGGCACAGACATTTTTCGGAGTCCTCTTGCCGTTTTTTTGAGTTCACTGTTCTCGCTCGCCTCCCGTTAACATTCCAGATCAAGTGTACGCCGTGGAAATGATGGACTTATTAAAATGATACGTTTCTGCACGAGGGAAAAACAGAATAATAATAATGATGATTTTAAAACACGTATAATTAAAAAACAAACCCTTGTTTTCAGCTAAAAACCTCAAACTCTGAGGTTTTCTAACAGTGTGATCAGTTCTGCCACAACATAAGAGC